GTGAAAAAGACTGAGCATGCGCAGAAGGAGGGGGCGGAACCATACTGCAGAGGGAAATAAATATTTGACAAGCACTCAGTGTGACTAATCGAATGAGTGAAGGTCCAGAAGTGAGGAATGTCGGCGCAACGATGCATGAAAATGTTCTGGCATGCATTATCAAATGGCTCTGTGTGCATTGGAGGGGAGAAGGTGAATGTGCCCACCTGAGTTTAAGCCTGAGTCATCAGTTGATATTCCAGGACAGTATGTTTGCGTAATCATTGTCATGCCAGAAACTTTGGTGGCTATTTTGGAAATGTCTACAATGGCACTGAAAGAATATGAGGAGAGAGTCTGGCCAAGTAAAGGTGAGTGCCTGTATTAAGAATTACCTTGGGGTGGTAAGGGTGATTAGATATATTTAATTTAATATAATTCATTTTATATAAGTCCTGTCTGACTGCAGAATAACTCTTCAGTGCATCACAATATAAATTAAATAAACAGAATGAACAAACTAAAATACAATATCAATATATTTAAAAAAACAAATAAAGAGCAATTTTTAAAAACAATGTAGAGGAAACAAAATAGCAAATCCAGCCAGCAACACACAAATATACACTGATATGCTCCACAAGGGAATCCAGTCACTCTTCCTCAAGTCCTAGGAAAACAGCCAGGTCTTTAAGACTCTCGAGAACACCATCAAGATGGCAGCTTCTAGATGGAGAGAAATAGGAGACTGATGCACATCCAAACAATGTGGACATCACTTAAGTAAATAACTGCCAAAAAATGTAATCAGTGAAACTTCTTCAGACAAAGAGAAGCAAAAAAAGATTGCCTATGTGTACTCCAGAAGGTAAGAAAACAATTAGAGCAGCGGTTCTCAACCTGGGGGTCGTGACCCCTTTGGGGGTCCAACGGCCATTTCACAGGGATCGCCAAAGCCCTCTCTCACCCCCCCACACCTTCACTCACCCTCACCCTCTGCCTCTGTTGGATCGCCGATCGCCGTTCGCTTACCCCGCCCACTCCCAATCTATTCCTGCCTCCGGAGTCCCAGCTGATGGCTAGAGGGAAAAAAACTTTAAATTCTTGCCGCGGGGCCTCAAAGGGCCGTCCTACAGCTGATCAGTGTTAAAAGAAAACAAATGAATAGACCGGTGCCTGCAAAAATAGAAAAAACAGCCCCTTTCAGCTTCAGCATAGGTTAATTACCATAAGTTGATTTGATCAGCCTCCGGACTCTCAAATGATTTGCTCTCAGCTGTTTTGCGGAGGGCTCTGTTGCTAGCTAGCTGCAAAGAGGTAAATTCCTGGAGCAGATTTTTTTCCCCCTAGCTATGCTGAAAAAGCGAAATTGAATGTAAAGCAGGGTCTTTGCTTCAACGTGACAAAATGAGGCAGAGAGAGATTTCTTTTTCTTTTTCCTCACCAAAAAAGGTAGGTGCAAAACTGCAAACAATGGGAAATTTAGGGCAAAAGAAGAGGTTCAAGATTTTAAAACACACACACAAAAAAAGCTCTATTTAGGGAATTGTAATAATTGAGATACTATTAATTGTATATTGTGTTGAAAGCAGAAATGGTTAAGTTGTGGTTTGGAGGAATATATGGGGGAAATTATTTGGTTTATTATTATTGGTAAATATAATTAATTGATTTGTAAGAAATTGGTTTGCATGGAAATAATTGGAATATTCATGTTCATATTGATTAATATACAAAAAAGATAGTTATATAACTAATTGATTTATATTAAAATGTTGCATTTATATTAAACAACTGTATTACATAATTAACCAATCTGAGGATGGATATAAAAATAGATGACAATGGGAAGGGGTATAATATAGAATAGAAGGGAAAAATTGAATTTGATTAAGATTAGCGATGAGTATGAAGGGTAATATTGGTTTTTTTAAAAAATAGATGAGGAATAAATATGGTAAAAAGGAAATATAGAAATTGTAAATTTAATTGAAATGACTAAACACTGTGTTGGAAGAAATATCCTTCTGGGTTTTGCTCCAAGTGGGGAAAAAGACACTGGAAACATGGAGACTGCTTGGAAAGATGGTTTAATGGTGGACAGGATCACATGGCTTGAGTTCCTGAACAGAAAAGGGGCAGATACAGTAAATCCTCAGGTTTTTATGCTCTCTCTGGCTTTGCATTTCTTGGGGCCCAGAAAGAGTATCCTGATTGGTTGTCAGACTCCCAGGGGGTGGGGGTCTTAGCTAGTCTTGCTAGCTGATGTTCACATGTGCTTCCCAGGTCACATGCTTCCCAGGTCACGTGTGGTGAGTTTCGGTTGCTAGATGGGGCCCATTGTGTTAGTTTCTGTTGCTTTTATGTTGCAAATGTCCTTTGACAAAGGATTGACTTTCTGCCTCTGGCCCATTAACAAAGGGTGGGGGGCAGGAAGGTGGGAGCTGCTTTGTCTGTAAAATATGCTTCTCCATTTCTCATCCAGGAAAATATAATATTCTGCCTTTTTAATATTTCCCAAAATATTTCATTCTTCTAGGAAAGGGGTGGGTGCTAACCTCCTACAACTGTTTAAATTTGTGAACCGGCCAAATACTCTGTTCAAAGAAAATACATTGTATGTTTGTATGTGTGTTTCTAATTATTGCTATTTATTCATATTTGTTCTCTTTTATTCTTTAAAGTTTAACAATTCATTATTTATCTTAATATCTTTATATTTGTTTGGGGTTGGCTTTCTTCCCTTTCATCTTTTTTATTGTACAGCAATCTTTCTCCTCAAACCTACCACCTCTGTCTTTTCTTTCCTTCTTACTTTTTCTTCCCCCCCTCTTCTTCTTCTCCCTACTTCCTCTTCCTTTCTCCTTCTCCTCCTCTCTTCCTCCCTCTCTTACCCTCACTCTTACTCTAATTTCCCTTCCCTTCCTTCATCCCTCTCTATTGCTGTATCCTTTTATGCATATGGACTACTCAGAGGGCTGAAAAAGTTATTTTTGACTGGTCCTCGCACTTTTGACCAGTCCTCGAATTTACGACTGTCCTCACATTTTACGTTTTTTGCCCTATCTTATCACCATGTTGAAGAGAAGCAATTCTGAAATGAGTGACATGGTTGTTAAGAATGCTGCACAGGCATAAATGTGAGGATGGTCATAAGTGTGAGGACCAGTCAAAAGTCCGAGGACCTGTCAGAAATGACTTTTTTCAGCCCTCTGAGTAGTCCCTATACACATAGCCATGGCCACCCGGTCACATGACCAGCTAGCCATGCCCACCCAGTCACATGACCTCCAAGCCACGCCCACAAAATAAGCCACACCCACAGAACTGGTAGTAAAAAAATTTAGAACCCACCCCTGGTTGGGGGTCACCATAACATGAGGAACTATATTAAAGGGTCGCGGCATTAGGAAGGTTGAGAACCACTGAACTAGAGCATTAGGAACCAAACAATCTGAAATGGAGCCTGTAAAGGGTACTAGGTCAATCCATAGCCCACTTTCTAAAACATATTTGCATCATAACCATTTAAAAGCTATAGAGATCTTCAGAGCAGCAGAGTAACTATATCTCCTGGTGAGTAGTTCCTTTTCTCTGGAGCTTGAATAAAGGGAAATGAGAAGAAATAAATATAAAGATTTAAAAATAATCCACAACAAAAAGTTTGCTAAGAATTTGGATTATGAGCACTTACAATGGATAAAGGGAGTTAACTGAATTTGATCTTTGTGTATTTTAAAACCCTTTTGATAAATTAATTAAATAAATAGCATATGCCTCTGTGTGAAAGAGGACTGTTTTGGGTTTTCAAGAGAAATGATTGGTGAGTTTTGCTAAACAAAAAGACAAGGTTATAACCAGTACTTTGAGTTGCTCCCAGCAGTATACCAATGCAGTTCAAGAAGCAGAACTTCTGAGTGCCCTTCAAGGGCAGCCTCATGAGAGTGCATTGCACTAGTGCAAGTGTGCAGTGACCAGATCATGAATGACTCTTGAGGGTGTGAGACTAGACCAAAGCCACCATACCTAAAGGTGGTGAAAGCACATAAACAGGGTAGACAAAAGCCAGGAAATGGAACCAAGTCATTAAGGAAACAAAAGAACAAAAGTTGGGCCTGAGCATATGGGAAGCCCCTACCCAAATCTCACCAGCACCTAACAAACAATGGAATTGGGTCTTGACACATGGTAAGCCCCTTCCCAACAACAAAGCAAGGATTTTGGGGAATAAAAGGGCTCCTGAAGCCTGCCCACTTTGACTCATTTTTTGATTCAGACTTGGTGGCTTCCATCCTTCTGGCTAGCATCTGGCATCCTAGTTGAGGATGTTGCATAAGTGTGGATGAGACAGACTGTATATGTATGAAAGAGCAAGCAGATATACTTTGTCATCAGTAAATTTGCTGTTATTTTAAATTCACTGGGTGTCCATGCATTCTAAAAAACTGTTTGTGCCAGCCAGGGGTGGCATTTAGGGGTTCGCCAAACCCCTGAGATCCTTGGCTAGAGGATCGCCCGAACTCTGCTGAACCCCCAGGAGCCCACCCCTGATCCTATCATGTCCTAAAAGTCATGTCCTGTCCTTCTTAATCCCATCAAATGGAGCTGAAGGTCTTTTATTTGTGAATTAGATTATATTTCATTCTTGAGGGGGGTGGCTTCCTACAAAACCTTTGTGGCCAAATAAGAGACCATGCAAAAAACAACAACAACAACAACCCAGAAAATACTCTTTTTTCCTACTCAGGGAAAATTCTTTATCATCTAACCAATGTAAAAACATTGGCTCAATAAGTAACTATATAATTATTCAAGAAGGCAGGCCTCTTTTGTTCTTGGGACCCAGTATTGCTTAATTTAATTCCATTTGTTGGAATTCTTAACTGTAGAGTGAAACATTTACATGAAGGCTATAACAAATATTATTAACCTTTATCCTAAATGTTGGATTGTTACACAATTCAAATAACTTTAAACTTGTTTCCAAAGGTTTCATAGATCCTGTCCATCCAGTTCAGATCAAATGCCTGAGGGGGACAGAGAAAACAAGGAAAAGGAGAGAGGTTCTCTCTTATATAGGGCATGCCAATGATTCAGTAGAAAGAGTAGACAGGCTACGCCTAATTCAGTACTTTGAAATACATGCTCATATCACTTCAGTTTGCAGAATTCATTGTAATTGTTACTGAAAACTTATTACTAAAAGGAAATGGATTGGACTGGAACAATTTTAACTTTATTACTATTTATTTTTGCAATTATGTTCCTTTTGAAGAAGGGAAGTTCCTGGAATAACAGCTGCCCCAGTCTCCCCCCAGGACCCAGGACTATACCCATTTTGGGAAATCTACACATGATGGATCTGAAGAGGCCTTACAGAACAATGATAGAGGTAAAGTGTGATCATTAACAAGTATCTTTACCATTCTTTCCCAAAATATGTCGAAATAACACAAATGTGATAACTTGCTCAGATAAGTCTTGTGTGTTCGCTGAAGTTTTTCAGTGTCTATGGACATATTTTTAAAATGAGATTTACCTAATATCTGAATATATCGTGCTTGAATAAGAGGTTGAACTAGAAGATCTCCAAGGTCCCTTCCAATTCTGTTATTCTGTTATATTTATGAGTCCTAGAAGAATTATTCAAAGAAAATCTTTTTTGTTAATGGATGTCTGGAAGTTGAATGATGGCAACTGGACTTCTCTTTTTTGGTGTGAAACATTTGGCTGCTTATCCAAAAAGCTTCAAGTTGGTTAGAGGGACCCCATATACTATAAATCCTCCAGGCTAGTTCCAAGCAGTATATAAGTCTATGTGCTATTGCTATTTCTCACCTAATCTGGATAGGCTCATTAGGACCCATCTAAGAGAAGGAATTTTGAGCAATGATCCTTAACAACTCTCTGCCTACTCACTTAAGTACCCTGGAGGACATATATGGGGTCCTCTTTCCCAACTTGCTCAGATTGAAGAAGTTACTTGGATAAGCAGCCAAAAGTTTCAAACCAAAAAAAAAAAAAAAAAAAAGAAGTCCACTTGCCATAACTCAACTTCTAGGCAACTCTACCCGGATGACTGAGAATCTTCACTGACATTTGTTAATAGATGAAAAATGTTGTAGTTGTTCATTCAGATTGAAGAAAAACTAGATTGCAGAAAATATGACTTCAGCAATAGAGTGGTCAATGCCTGGAATGCACTACCTGACTCTGTGGTTTCATTCCCAAACCCCCATAATTTTAACATTAGACTGTCTACTGTTGACCTCACCCAACTCCTAAGAGGTCTGTAAGGGGCGTGCATAAGTGCATCAACGTGCCTACCGTACTGTCCCCATTTATTCGTATCCATTTATTATTATTTATTTATTTGTCAAGGACATATTAGATAATATATATAAGTATAAGCATGAATTGAATACATAAAATGAATACACATTTTCCTGATTTTCAAAGTCATTTATGAGAAAATACTTTAATTTCTTTTCTTAAAGAATTCCCATGATCATCTTAAAAAACTACAAAGGACACAATAGGAAAGTTTCTGTGTGATCCTTTTAACAACTGGGCAGAATCTCTTTTAAGTAAAATTCAACTGTATGTCCAACTGCTTCAAGGCAGTTTTGCAAAATGCTAGAATATAAGTATACCTCTTGTGCAGGCTTCAGCTTCATACAGTGTCCTATGTAATTATTGAGCCCTTTATGAGAATATTTATGAGAAACATTTATCAGTTCAACATGATCATCTGATGTGCAAGAACTCTATTACATAAGGGTCATTTTGATTTGACACACACAATAGTAAATGAGATGAAATGAAAATTAAAAATCATAAAAATACAGCATCGTAACATGCCATAAAGCAAAAACAGAAAATAACATGATCTCAGCCTTGGAATAGTGAGACATTAAAGTTTAAACAAAATTCTGCACGTGATTAATTATTAATTGTTGATCAAACAGTCTTTTGCTTTTCATCTGTTGAATTTCAGTTGTCCAAGAAATACGGTCCCGTTTTCCGTATCAAACTGGGATTTCAGGAGATGGTGGTGCTGACTGGCTATGAGACAGTCAAAGAGGCTCTAGTGAACCAGGCTGATGCATTTGCAGAGAGAGCCTCCATCCCCATTTTTGATGATTTTGCAAAGGGCTTTGGTGAGTTGTTTCATTCTGAATCATAGATGACAATAATTTTAGATGTGTGATCGGTATTCTGTATAACTTTTCACCTAAATTTTTCCTGGGCAATAACCTCAGAGAACCAGGATATCTCCTGCCAATCCAAACAGGATAAAGAAACAATATTTGTATTGCTATTTTGGCCTGATCCCAACCGTTAATAGAAGGAACTAGAGAAAAAAAAAGTAATGGCAAAATTGTAGTAAAAACATTTTGCCCTCTCTCCACACCCACACAAACATACACCCACACCCACACCCACACCAGGTTTGATTCCACTTCTTTGAAAAATTGGGTGTGAAGTGACCCAATGTTATGCATATATTTCTCTTTATTTATCTCCTTATATATATATAGTTATCCATTCCTTTCCTTTGTGCAATGTTTCTGCCAGTTTCTCTTCCCTGATACACAATACGGTCTAATCTTGATGGAACCTGATAATTTGCAGAATCAGTTCTTAGTGTTCAGTTAGTGATAGAAATGACTGATTGCATAAAGACCTGTAGGCTGTTTTCTTCCAAAGCCCCATTTAGATAATTGCTGGCCGCTTCTCCTGGCAAAAGGCACCTGGGTATTTTACTTTGTTTGTTTTTTTACATTTTTGAACTGCTCATCTTCCTAATGATGGACTCTGGGCAGTGTACAATAAAATTGTTAAAATATAAAAAACAAGATATGGAAATTAAAAATTTAGGAAATTTTGAATTTAAAGAGAGACAAAGATAACTAAAATTTGTTAAAAGTTACTTTAAAAACCAAAGGGAGGGGACCCTCAGGGGGCCAACCAATTTTGCATATTTGACTGTAACACTTCCTCATCATAAGCATTATCTGCATTTATTTTCTTAGCTGTCACTTTCCATTATTTTTTAAATTAAATTCTTATTAAATTTCAAAGTCAAACATTAAAATACAAAATAACATAAGAGAGTAACAATGCAAATTAAAAAATGCAATAAACAAATGTATAACAAAGATGACCTCCAGCTTTCTTTAAGCGCAGAGAAAATAATCATACAACAATTTCTCTCTAAATTTAAACAGATCATACCAATAACTTAAAATCTCAATAATCCACACTCTAAAATGCCAATAAACTATTCTTCTCTTAACTTTAATCTAACTGATATTAAACCATATTATATATGATATACTTCACTTCATAAAAATGTCTTTTCAAATGATAATTCAATGTAAATTTCAAACCTTGTGTCCACATACTTCTCTATTGATCAAGCATAATATTATAACCAAAATTTTATTTCATTTTACCATCCTCTTTCACATATTAATCTTCAAGATTAAATTTCAATAATAAAATTAAAGAAAAAAGTGAGAATTTTGGTGAACCTATTTTGGTCAACCTATTTTAGAGAATAGGTCAACCTATTCTCCAGAGTACCTGAATCATGGAAAGAACCAACCTAGAACTACAATTTCCTGTTGCCTCATGTTTTTGGACTCTGAACGCTCCGTTTTAGACCTGTTCCAGGTTGCGGGGATCACCACAGCACATTGCCACCGATTGTAGCCTCCGCGCATCACGTTTTCAGCCTTCACATGCTCCATTTTTTGGGTGGTTCCAGGTGGCGGGGATTCCCACTGCCGATCCCCGCTGCCATCGCCGATCCCTGCCGCCTGGAACTGCCTGAAAACGCGAGGTGTGGAGGCCAAAAATGGAGCATGTGGAGGCCGAAAACGCAATGTGCAGAGGCACCGATCAGCGGCGATGTGCTGTGGCAATCCCCACAGACTGGAACGGGTCTAAAATGGAGCATTTGGAGGCCAAAAACACAAGGCACAGAGGCGGCAATGGTCTGCAGCCTGGAACCAGTCTAAAACAGCAATGCACGGAAGTGGAAAACAGCGGGTGGGTGGGGGCCAGCGGGTAGGTGGGGCTACATTCGGTGTATAAGATGCACCCAAATTTTTACCCTCTTTTAAGGGGGGTGGAGTGCATCTTATACTCCAAAAAGTATGGTAACTATTTTTTACAACCTTTCACTAGCTGACCTGTATGAAATACTGACTCATTTCATTTAAATGATTTTGGTTTTAACTTGAATTTCAAAAGGTGGTAAAATATTGCCATTCTGTTGCCATTTTGTTATCCATTTTCTCTGAAGTTCATATCATATCAATTCTCGAGAAACAGTTATACTTTTCTGAAATAAATGCTTTCTTGCCAGTCTATTTTAATGTCTTCAAGTATACATTAATACCAAATTATCCATAATTTCAAGAAAAGATTTTGGTAATTTACCTTGATTAAGTTTAATTCCTTTATTAGAAGTCTTGTCAAATTGAAGGAGCACTACCCCATTCCAATCTCCTAATGTATACCAATTTTGAAATGAAAATGAAGAGAGAGCAAAATTTTGTTTTGTTTTTGTTTTTTTGTTATGCAGCACATAAAGTCCAATTACTATAGATTTAACTCCTTGGATTTCCATTTCTATAGCTATAAATCTATCTTGATCATCTGTCAACAAAAGACATGGCTCCATCAGTCTTTTTAGAATTTGCTGATGTAAATTCTTCCCATAAAAATTTGTTAATCCAATATTTTACATCTCTTTTTGTATATCAGTCTCTTGCAAGCATGTCACTTCCAAATTTCACATATAATGAAAAATTTTCTTTTCTGTTTCTTTCTCTTAAGACCCTTTTAAGTCTTAAACAGAATTTTTCTCTGAGCTCCAAAAGGGTCATATTACTCTAATTCTCTAATTCTAAATTTCTTATTTCAGTTCTAGTTTCCAAAGAGTCCATTATGTCATTAATTTGCTTTACATTGCCAATAAACTTGTCCAACTTGGAATCCAACTTCTTTATATATATTTTTCCCCAAAGATTTGAATCTAGCATCCATAGAGTCAACTTTTACAACAAATTGTGAATTTTTCCAAAATTGCTTTAATATAAAATTTCCCATATGAGGATCTTTGGTCTCTCATTGGGACCATTGCACAATATTTTTTAAAAAATGTTTTTAAAAAAGAGACAAAGCTTTATTTTCCAATAAAAAATAAGACAAGAGCTTCCTCTTGTGACCAAAAGCCAAGTTACAGCTACTCAATAATGAGTATGTAAATTTTTAAAAGGACTGCAGAAAGCATCAAATTACATTTGTTTATCCTCCATAGCCACTCTGCATATTGAAAAATAAAAGAATAATTCTGAATGAATGCTAATGAATTTAGAGTCAAAATCCACTTACACAAAGGAAGCATATCAGTCAGTGCTGATAAAATAGGAGGTACCGTATTTAAATTAAAAAATGTGAACAACTACTTGAATGGAAACTGATTGTCACAGTGACACAATTGCATTTTCATTGTTCATACATCAGTAATGGTTTCTTCGCAAATGAAGAAGTCCTTAAGGATAAACTCTGGAAACAGCACTGCCAAAGAACCAGCTCTGGAAACAGCACTGCCAAAGAACCAGCTTTAGCAGTGAAATCAGCAGATCATCGGTAAGAGAAAAAAAGAAACTGTTACTGTGCAGCAGCCATCTTGAGAGGAGGTGAATGGCTGAACAGTGTCTGAAATCTAAGAAAGAAGGGTGGGGAAATATGTAGCTTCTACCTAGATTTCTCTTTAAAAAACTTGAACAAACTATAATGATTGTCCCAAAAAAAATGTTAGGATCTGAAGCTTTATCTTTCAATAAAGCTATACAAAAGGACTTTGATCCAGTTCCGGATCAAGGAGATAGTCTCACAGCTGGAGAATTAGCAAAGTGGATTTCATTTGATGTTCCAAAGTTGAAGTCTGTACATTTCTTCAACATCACGGAAGGAAGAGAGACAAATTCCTTTCCTCTACGAAGATGGTGGGAGACTGGATGGATTTATTGTAGTTAACTAGCAACTACTTTTGCTTGCATTTTAATCAGAAGATCTATTTTGGAGACTGAATCTATATATTTAATTAAACAACAATGGAAAGAGATGATATAAGGAAACAAACATGGATATTTGACCAAGGTAGCTATTTATAACTTTTGGAATGTTTTGAGATAGATAAGATGCCATGGCAAATTTTCTAGAAGAGGATTACAATAACAGCTTGTTAACAGAGTTTTGAAATGTTAATTTTGTTCTGTTTCACTATTATTGTTCTTCCTGTTAACTGCTTTGTCATTAATATAACATACTGTATAGAAGAGTAGTGAGTTTCAAATACCGTCGCTACCAGTTCACTCGTGGACACACACACGCTGATGCACATGCTTGACACTTCTGTACATGCTCAGAGACATCTGGGCAGGTGGGCAGAACCTCCCGCCACCGCCGCTACCAGTTTGCCCGATCCGGGGTGAACCGGTAGCAACCCACCACTGATATAGAAGACAGATTAATAAATTGCAAATAGATTTAGTATCTTAAAATTTTTGGGAGGGCCTGTTTCACAAGGGATGGGAATTAATGTTGTAATGATATATTAATCAATATCCAACTAGAGGGGATAATATATGTATAATTTTTTTTAGTTTTGTATTTTAACTTTGTTTTGAACTAAATAAAGATATATATTAAAAAAAGAAACAAGCTGTTTTTCACATTTTTTATACTTGATAGTCTAATAATTGTGGAAATACCTTCAAAAGAGATAATTTGCATTATAATGGTGAGTCTTTGCTGTTACAATGGATTTTACATTTGACCTCTTGTCTTAACCTTCTCCTTTCAGGTCTTATTTTTGCTCATGGTGAGAACTGGAAAGCAATGCGACGATTTACATTATCCACATTACGGGACTATGGAATGGGAAGGAAGACTATTGAAGACAAAATCATTGAAGAGTGTGGTGTCTTGACAAAAACAATTAAGACTTATGCAGGTGGGTTGTTATTTCCTCCTAATACTTTACTGGATGTCTTTCGGGACAAATGTAGAGTGTGAAATAATAATACCTTGAGAGATAGGGCAACTAGAATGCAGCCACGGAATCATCAGATAAAGCTGAGAGCACAGCAGAAATGTGGGTAGGGCTCAGAAAAAGTCTTCCTTAGTTTTTGGGGCTGCAAAAGTGATGGATGGAGAGAAGCAGTTTCAGACTTGCAAAATTCTGCTAGTGTAACTGTACAATAAACTAGAATTAGCTCATCTGGTCATGTTTCCTGTCTGGTCTACCTAATAAGCCGACAGGATATCAAAATCCTTTCTGGTAATGTTCATAGTGGGAACAGTTTCTTATTTCAAATTCTTGAATAGTTAGTTTTGTACAATCGAACAATCTCTTATAAATGAACATTCTAGGTTTACTAATTTGTATAATATAAGGGAATAGTGCTAGAGTATAATTCTCCATATAAGGATAGAAGAATGTTGTGAACTGGAGTTGTTGCTCCTTCCTGCTTTGGATCAAGGATAATAATGTTTCAGTTTCTCAAAGAACATAAACACATCATCTGGGTACATGAAATGATATACTTTATACTCTACCAAATTTTCCAACAAAAGTACTGTAATTGTCAATATTCAATTCCCCTATATGATAATTTCAACTCAGTTATAAGGATCAAATTGAAATTGGGGCTCTTATTTATTTATTTATCAAACAGATTTATTTGACTGCCCAATGCACACACTATGACTCTGGGCAGGGGTGGGTTCTACTCACCTTTACTACCGGTTCGCAACAAAATCTGGTAGAACCACAACATGGTCATCACATCATCCTTTCTGGTGTGATGGAAAATGATGAAGAAGACAAGATGGTTCCCACAAAATGATCCACAGCAACTTTCAAGAACAAGCCCTTCACTGTTACTAATTCTTCCCAGTTTATTCACCCAAGATCATCCTGCTCTGATTCCCCAAAAAGAGAAACAAAAGCTCTCCATTCAAGAAGCTATAGGGAACCAGTCCTCAGCATAATCTACTTAGGACTCAAGCTACCACTATCATTAAAAAGCCAAATTTTGCTAGCTTGTGACTGTGCACCACTGCTGCCTAACACATAATCTCCCTCATCACCCTAGCAGAACCCCCCGCCCCAGCCTTTGACCATCAACAACAAGAAAAACACTCCTGTTGTTACTGCTGCTGTCACCCAAAAACAAAACAAAACACCATCTCAGGATTGCCACCAAGAACCAGGTCTCTACAACCTCTCATCCAGCTGCCAGCTGCATTGCTGCCACAAAATACAAAAGCACCAGTAAGCATAATCCAGCAAGCTTCCTCCAGAGTGTTCCTATGGCAGCTCCCACCAGATGGCAATCAACAGAAGCAAAGAACCAGTACATCTCTCTCTTGTCACTACCAATAGCTTGAAATGAAGTCCTGAAGCCCAGCACATTGGGCCAGGGTCTGACTCAGTCAGGGTCTGACTCAAGGTAAACTGGCACCCCACCAGAGTGTGCCAAACATAACCAGATAGGCTCCAGAGTCTCCACCAAAACACCACGTCTCTTGTGTCTATCTCCAACATATTAACAATCCTGCTCAATGCAACCCAGCATTTCCCATCCAATAGCCTACAATAATCCAAATTGAAATATTTCCGAAACTTGGCAGCCATTTGCTGTTTAAAACTACAATCATTTAATAAGGATACATCCAGAGTTTATCCTTAAGGACTTCTTCATTTGCGAAGAAACCATTACTGATGTATGAACAATAAAAATGCAATTGTGTCTCTGTGACAATCAGTTTCCATTCAAGTAGTTGTTCACATTTTTTAATTTAAATACGGTACCTCCTATTTTATCAGCACTGACTGTAGTTTCTATGATATGCTTCCTTTGTGTAAGTGGATTTTGACTCTAAATTCATTAGCATTCATTCAGAATTCTATTTTGATCTATTGTTTGTTGTCCAGGAAAGCCATTTGAGATCCAAACAGTTATGACTGCCGCTGTTTCCAACATCATAGTTTCTATTCTGCTTGGGAAGCGCTATGACTATGAAGATGCCACATTTCTACGACTTCTGAAGATAATCAGTGAAAATATATATCTTTCAGCGACCCCAAATATGTCGGTAATCTAATATTTCATTTGAAGAAAAAAATGCATGGAGTATAGGCAGATGTGTGTCATTTTGCTTTATTGCTAAGCAAAGCATATTGCTTGTCATAGCAAGATTGTGTTCAAATAATAAAATGAACATGATATCATGATTCAAATTGTATATAGTTGTATTGAAATATCTGATGTAACTATGCAAGTCACTTTTTTCTGCTGTGACATCACTTACTGTCTCTTCTTTCTATAAGCAAATGCCCATGTTACTTGTGAATGCACTCAAAATGTAGGGTTGGCAGCCTTCTATTGAAAATGCCATTTCAATCTCTTTCCCTCTCTCACACACAAACACACTTTACTCCACAACTCTAAAAGTACTAAATAGTTTCGTTGACTTGAACTTGCATTCAATTTTTTAGACTGATCATTCTCTTTGCTTGTTTGGAAATCAGCAGGATGAGAGCATGAGGAACTCATTTAAGAGTATATTGGGAAATGAACATTTCTTTTCCCACTAATTGAATGGAGATTTGGTTCATGGGATTTAGGCCTTAGTGAATTTGAAATATTGACTACGCATAGCTTCCTCAATCATGTGATTTTGCTTATTATTGGGGTTTATTTTTGTAGACTTATGGAACATTATTTTCATTAAAATGCTTTGAGATGTCTGACAACTGTTTTCACAGTATTCAATGTTCTTAATATATATTTTCCTTCATCATTCTTTCAGCTATATAATATGTTTCCTATGCTGGGCTTCCTTTTGGATTCACCTAAAAAACTAATGAATAACAGAAAGGAGTTCCATGATTTCATACAGACTACCTTCATAGAATATCTCAAAAATCTGGATGAAAATGACCAGAGGAGTTTTATTGATTCATTTCTTATTCGGCAAAGAGAGGTAATGGATTATTTTATATGTGCCTTGAAGTACAAGTGATTTTTAACATTTTTAAAAATATGCCTACTTATAAATTACAAGTGGTTGGTGAAAATTCTTGTTTAGAAATGTGTGTTTGTGTGTGTGTGTGTGTGTGTGTGAACAAGAGGGGGAACTAAATTTGTTATCCCTTCTAATCATTCCTTTATTTCAGAGCCTGTAGTCATTTCAATTACAGTCAATTTACTGTGGGGTTGTTGTTGTTTGCATTAAAATGACCATCAATATATATATTCCGATCAAACCTTTGAGAGCCAATTGATTTATTTTTTTGTATACTAGCTTTATACTCATGCTTTGCTACGAAACTATGTGATCGGGCTTGATAAATCAACATTTAAAGCTTGAAAATTAATGAGTAGTTTATAAAGGCACTGTATTATTTCGTTAGAGACAGTAAACTAAGTTTCTGTTACAGATTAAGACATTATTGTAAGTCTAACAATAATAAAATAGATGGGCTTAAGCCTTAAAACATGCTTAAAACAAATGAACAACTGAAGAGCAAATATGATTAAAAAACCTGACTTTCTAATTGCTCTTTACTGAGAATTTCAATCTTCAAGCTCTCTCTACTTTGAAGGTTCACAACCATCCAAAAATCTTCCTAGCTGCTCACATTTAATTCTAGGGAGCAGTCACCAAATGGCCAGCTTTGGTGGGAAAATCAGCTATTCACTGAGCCGTGGTAGCACAGTGCTTAGAATGCAATACTGTAGGCTATTTCTGCTGCCTACAATTTGGCAGTTCAAATCTCACCGGGCTCAAGGTTGACTCAACCTTCCATCCTTCCGAGGTGGGTAAACTGAGGACCCAGATTGATGGGGACAATATGTTGACTCTGTAAACCACTTAGAGAAAGCACTATGAAATGGTATATAAGTCTAATTACTATTGCTATTCAGTGGCAGGACAGAAAAAATTGCCTGCCACTCACCATGTCATCTTGGGGGAAGTCCTCCTTGGGAAAAGTCCCTCAGCAGCCCATTCTCCTGATTGTGTTTTCCTCCCTAGTTATAATTCTATGGTCTAATTCTTTTGAGAATGGTGTCTGTTATGTCCTTATAAGGACACCCGCCGGGGATTGGCTAATCCTCCGGCGGGAAATTCAAAATGCTGTCTCTGGGCGGTGCGACTTGCCGGGAGCACTTAAAAGGAGAGCTCCGGCAGCGCAGCCGCCAGTCTTGTTCTCACTTAATAAAATGGACCACGCTGGTCGCATCTTCTTTTTCCTGCGCCTGATCTAACACTGGCGACGAAGGATTCAAAGAACCGCAGCGACAAGCCTCGTGGCACACCGCCACCAACTAAGAGCTAAGCACTGAGCTGAAGTCACGAAGACAAAGCCACCACAGTCATGGCGACATCGCAAGCCGCGCTCATCTCAGTTGCCACATTCAACCCCGAGAAGGAGAAATGGAGGTCCTACATGGTCCGGTTTCACCAGTTCCTGAGGGGAAACAATTACCAGGACCTCAACGATAACCGAAAGAGAGCCCTGTTCCTGGCTCACTGCGGGTCCGAAGTACTGGAGATGGCCATCGACCTCATGGCTCCAAGGGACATTGAGGAAATGTCTTGGGCAGATCTCCAAGAGGTGCTACAAGAGCACTATGCACCAACAGGGACTCCAATCGCAAACCATTTCACATTTCATCAGAGGAACCAGCGGGATTGAGAACCCATCAAAGAGTTTGTGGCAGCCCTACGCCAAATCGCAGCAAATTGCAAATTTGATAACATGGACAATGCCATCAGAGACAGAATTGTATTCAGCATGAAGGACGTGTCCCTACAAAAGAAGTTCCTGAGCTGAAAGAGAATACCGCTAAAAGAAGTCATCGAGGAAGCCACGGCTGTGGAGACTTCGGAAAAAGCAGCGGCCGCAATGATGAAGGCTAAAGCGGTCCATAAAATCCAGAAGACTCCCCAAAGTTCCACAGATGACTCCATCACTGCATCAGAGTCCAATGAAGAAATGGCCGTCCCCAAGGTCTCCAGACTCCCAAGGCGGGAAACCGCACAAAATGGCGACCGGGGAGAGCGCTGCGGCAGCTGCAGAGGTGACCATGCAAGGGCCACTTGCTGATGGAGGAATGCCACCTGTAGACACTGCCTGAAGAGGGGGCACATCGCAGAGGCCTGCAGAGACGCAGAGCCGGCCCCAGATCCACCCAAGCACCGGAACCGTGAAATCCGAAAAGATTACCAGAGATCATCCAAATGGTCCTCTTTCCAACCCAGACGTGGTGAAGACAAACTCTCCAGGAGCAGGGCAGTCCATCAGACGACCATCACTCACACCAACAATGACAGCGCCACCAAATTCCATGTGACCGTCCATGTGGAAGGGTCGCCATGTTCAACGGAGGTAGACTCGGGATCGATCTACTCCATAATGGACTGGCACCAGCTGAAGCGACTGAAACCCGGCTTCAGCAAGAAGGATCTGAAACCCCTGCGATCGAGGCTCGTGAATTTTGGAGGAAACCCCATCGGAGTCCTAGGAAGAACCTCTCTTCAGATCTCCTACCACACATTCCATGGCAACCTACCCATCACCATCATGGAGCACAGCCGCCCGAACCTGCTAGGAGTGGAGTGGTTCAAGCCATTAGGGCTCTCAATTGGAGGGATCCATCAAATCCGATGGGATGAGCTCGACAACATCATCAAAGAGTTCAAGGAAGTCTTCAATGGTAAGCTGGGGAAATTTGTGGGAAAACCCATCTCATTCAATTTAGATAAAACAGTAACACCAATTAGACTCAAGCCTCGCCGGGTTCCATTCGCCTTGCGGCCCAAGGTAGATGAACAATTGGACAAATTAATAGCCCAGGGCGTATTGGAACCAATCGATCATGCGACATGGGAGACTCCCATTGTGACCCCAATGAAGCATGATGGATCAGTGCGCATCTGCATTGACTATAAATGTTCAATAAATAAGGCATTGCAGCAGAGCACATACCCGGTTCCAGTGGTGCAACATCTGTTGCATTCACTTGGGAGCGGGTCAATATTCGCAAAACTGGACTTGGCCCAGGCTTACCAGCAATTGCCAGTGGACGAAAAAATGGTTGAGGCTCAAACAATTGTCACCCATAGGAGCGCATTTAAATGTAACCAATTTGGAGTCAGCGCAGCTCCAGGCATTTTTCAATCAATGATGGAATGCCTTCTCCAAGGCATTCCAGGAATGGTGCTGTACTTCGACGATGTATTGATCTCGGGGGACTCAAAAACCCAACTAATTGAGCGGCTCAGGCTTGTCCTGCAGCGGTTCAAGGAGAAGGGTTTGAGAGTCCGTAGAGACAAATGCATCACTGGAGTCCAGGAGGTCAAGTTCCTGGGCTATCTCATTGATGGCACAGGCATCCACCCCACCAAAACTAAAGTAAAGGCCATTCATGAAGCTCCCAGCCCCAAAAACAAAGCGGAGCTTCAGGCTTTCTTAGGATTACTCAACTTTTATAGTGTTTTCCTAAAACAGAAAGCTACGACTGCTGAGCCACTCCATTGCCTTCTGGGGAAAGCGGCTCCCTGGAAATGGGAGGAAGAAGAGGAAGCAGCATTCAGAGCCATTAAAAGACTGCTCTCTTCGGACAGTGTACTCATGCAGTACCATGAGACGCTTCCCCTCAGACTGACCTGCGATGCTTCACCCTACGGGGTTGGAGCAGTGCTCAGCCATGAACTTCCAAATGGCTCTGAGGCACCCATTGCCTATTTCTCAAAGACCATGTCCAGCGCAGAAAGGAGCTACAGCCAACTGGACAAGGAAGTCTTGGCCATCGTCGCAGGCACCAAGCGCTTCCACAAGTACCTCTACAGCAGAAGCTTCACCATCATCACGGACTACAAGCCTCTGCTGGGACTACTCGTGGACGACAAACCGACCCCAATGTTCATGTCACCCAGAATGACAAGTTGGGCGATCTTCCTAGCTGGCTATTCCTACAGACTGGTCCACAAACCCGGCAAGTCCATAGGAACCGCAGACGCCTTAAGCAGTTGCCCATCCAAAGACCCAGTGGAAGACCCAGCCCCCACACTCGGGCTCTTCCACATCGATGACAACAAAAACTGCCCAGTCACATCTGCAGACATGGCAGCCCATACTCAAAAGGACCCAACCCTCAAACAAGTTAAATCATGGGTCCTGCGAGGCTGGCCTACGGAGAAGACGGCAGAGAAATTCAGCCCATTCATCAGAAAGCAGCAGGAGCTGTCCACGATGAAAGGCTGCCTTCTATGGGGAGACCGAGTGCTGATTCCTAGCGCCCTACAATGGAAGACGCTGGAAACCCTCCACAACGGGCACCCAGGCATCGTGCGGATGAAGGGGCTGGCACGGAGTTATGTCTGGTGGCCATCCCTGGATAAAGACATCAAAGAATGGGTCTCCAGATGTGACCCGTGCCATGAGGTATGTCCCGCGCCTCCCATGCCCAACCGTCGGAGTGGGAGACACCAAGCAGCCCCTGGGCAAGGATACATATTGACTTCATGGGCCCGATGCAAGGGAAATACCTCTCGATAGTTGTGGACGCTTTCTCAAAGTGGTTAGAGGTCATTCCCATGGCATCTACCACATCAGAAGCAACCATCAGGGCACTCTGGTGGCTGTTCGCAACCCACGGGCTGCCGGATGTCTTAGTTTTTGACAACGGGCCCCAACTTACATCCAAATCCATGGAGTAGTTCCTGGCTGGACTGGGCATCCGTCATGCCCTCTCAGCACCCTACAGACCAGCTGGAAATGGTCAGGTAGAGAGAATGGTGAGGCTCACCAAGGAGGCACTCACCAAAATGGGCACGGGCGACTGGCAAGAAAGAATCGATAACTTCCTCCTCACCCAGCACATCACGCCGCATGCCACCACCGAAAAGAGCCCAGCAGAACTGTTGATGGGCAGAAGACTACGGTCACCCCTGGACCGACTGCACCCCCAGTACAA